TCTCTATTTCAGCTCGGCACAACTGCGTACACTAGATGCTACTCAGCGTGGCCGTCATAATAGCTAGGTCATTAACCGCGACAGCGGTCGATTACATAAAGGCCGAATCACATGTTTCCTTTACTTTGAACACTACCGATGTAAACACACGTTGTATGTTTTTCTAACAGTGAAGAAGTTAATATTGCTGCAGTTTTTAAACTCTTCGACCATCACAGTTTAGAAATTAATAATAGATTTTCATTTTTTATCAATATAATATATTATAATACTCTTCATATTTAGTTTTTCAAGCCACATGTTTATACCAGCCTTGAAAGTATATATAGACAAAATGGTAATTTATTTTTATAGAAACCGAAAAACTAATCCCATGGTTTATGACCTCGCAATTTGGTATCATATATTAAATTTTATTTATTACAGTAAATAAGATTGGTGAAGTTAATAAATAAAAATAACGGATAAATGCGTTTTTAATGTAGTATATTATCAATTTTGTTAATGGATAGAACAAAAAGTACCATATAATTAATATCATTTACAATATATTAAATGAATATTACAATATATTTTGTAATATCCATGCAATATTATAAATCTATTACTATATATTTTGTAATTACATTTTTATGCAAATTATATTCTCAATAGTTACAATGCATATGTTCATTTATTTATTTAATTGGCATAACGTTTGTGTGTTAGTATATTAAACATAGTAAAAATATGTACAACAATATTAAATAGCCTCATTAGAACCGCACTTGCTAAACATATAATTAAGTGTACCAATATGTATTTAAGCCTGCAGACGTGTGGTTTTCACAATAAAGTTATAAAAAACACAATAAATAAGTCACGGCGAAGATTTATAAACATCAACGTCACGTATTTCTATATCTATCTACAAAACTGTATTTAAATTAAGTATAATAAATAATTAAGTTCAATATTATCAATGGCCAATGCACCTTTGAATGAAAAAGAGTTACAGATATACAGACGTAAAACGAGATGTATATGATAGCAAGTTTTATTTATTACGCCTCATTATGCCTATTATATTAAACACTTTGAGTTTAAGTAAACTATTTCATTTTATCTACACTATAAAATATCATTATTGTTAATAAATGTGTTTACTTTTTGTTCAATGATAAATCAATACACGAAAAACAATTCTAAGCGGAGATGGTTCTATTTCTAAGAATATTTTATTGTTTATTTTTAATACAATTACTAATACGGTTGGTTGAACTTATATTTTTCAAAAACATCTAATATATCACAAAATTATTTTTATAACACCAGATAATTTATTTATAATATATTTAATGACTAATTTATAATTGTTTCATTTGTAACTTATACCTATAAGTTAAGAGGACGTCGTACCCGCATATGTTGTCTCCGTCTTACAAATGCGTAACATGGCAAATAGTACTCTCAGAAGATCACGTTTAGCTCCTTCAGCTTGAAAATTAGAATGAATTGACCTCTTTTGAAATTTAAAAGTGAGATTATTATCTAGGGCATCTCATAGGCTTTTTATTATATTTTTATTTTAAAGCGAGTTATGTGTGTTTTAAGACGTGCAAGCAATTTACAATTTTAAAATACTCATAACTTGCTTTAAAATTAAAATATAATAAAAAGCCTATGAGATGCCCTAGATAATAATCTCACTTTTAAATTTCAAAAGAGGTCAATTCATTCTAATTTTCAAGCTGAAGGAGCTAAACATGATCTTCTGAGAGTACTATTTGCCATGTTACGCATTTGTAAGACGGAGACAACATATGCGGGTACGACGTTCTCTTAATACCGACGTATTATAAAATATTTTATATAATTTAGATAGATAGGTTCATTGACTAGTAGTAAAAATAACAACTTAAAGTTAGTATAAATATTTTTAAATGTCATTGTGTATTTAGAACAATAATATACGTGATTAATGACAAAAATTCTTAAAGTAAATATTTTTTAAATTACAAATTACAGAGTACTATATTAATAACTAAAATCTTTATTTTGTTTAATTTCTATAAGTAAATTTTGCCACTGTGTATTCAATATCTTTAAAAAATTTTAAAGATAAACCTTGCAGATTCGTAATTTCAATGAAAAAACTAGAATACTAAAGTCACTATTTTTTCAGTTAATCTCAAATGAATTATGATTATGAATTATACGATGCGATTAATAAGCAACCTTCATGATCAAACAATGAATAATGATTTAAATGATATTATTATCAGAATATGAAATAATATTAACCACAAATGGTATATGTTATTTGGGTGCTACTTTTATTACTGGGAGTACTTAAAGCACCCAGCCCCCGAATTACATTTATGGAAAAATATATTATAAGGAATCTTAGAATCAATATTTTCAGATTTTATTACCTAAAAATAAAAATATTATCAAAAATAAATCACTTAAAATCTAAAAAAAGATCAACATATTTAAATATGTTTAAATAAAGTACAAATATTTTAAAAATTAAATTTCTTGAAAATTTGTTTAATAGTATTTATTGAAAATTCACATTCCTCCGGTTATTTATTTTTAACTACAAAAAAAATATATATATATGTCGTAGAAAACTATTTTTGTGTGAAGATTTTCGTTGTTTTGTTTTTCTCTAATTATTGTGAAAATATTGGAAATTTTTATTTTTTACCTCCAACCCAAATCCCCAAATTTCGAACTACATCCATTTTCCTATCAGAAAACACTTTCAAAGTTGATGATTTTTACTGCTATAAAAGATGTCATAGTAATAAAAAAAACATCGAAAGACTAAGATATTCAACGTTCCGTTCATAAACTATAGGTACAATTATCTTCTTATGCGGCTAATTGTATTTGGTTTATTACTAAAATGTGGTATCAACATAACTTATCAATATTTACATTACATTTTTCATTCGTCATATTTTAATCGGAATAAGTTACAATAATATGCAGTAACATAATGTATGATATTTATAATAATATAATTGTATTATTAATTATTACACGACAATTTATATATATCTATCAAGTTATAAATTCCTACATAATATACAAGATGAGATCTCGGTGTAATGCAACCAACGTTCATTATAAATTAACACTAACTACTAGTTATATATCTTATATTATTAAGCATATATATATATTATTGCAGTGTGTAACAAATGGTTGTCTATTAAACATATTTCTATGTTAAAAGTACACGTATTGAATATAATATGGCTGACAAATTTAATTAAAATGCAGCTAGCACTTTCTCAATTAATTAAAATCGGTCATGTGTATTATAATACTAAATTAACTATCGTATTACATGAGTAATTAAAATAAAAATAAAAACATAATGAATATAAAATTATTAACTATTCAATCAGTCTGAACTGTTAAAACTTAATTCCCCGAAAATTTTGCTAGCAAATAATATTTTTGATAACACAGAAATTTCATGTTATATTTTCAAGGTGATCAGGCTATCATCTTATCACGACATTAACAAACAACGAACAAATTCACAGTATTTATGCAAAATAGAATATATTAGATCAACATATTATGTACAATATACACAGATAAAAAGTTTTAATGATTTTGAAAATATTCTTTTTAAATAACTTCAAGTTTTGATAAAAAAATATTTTTAATAATTTTTATAGTTATTTTAAACTTTTTTAAACTTTTTAATGACAACATAATTGATATTTTCGTATTCTGAAGCAGAATCTTTATCCGAGTACATCAATTTATAAAATTCAAAATTTTAACAGCAGTAATTAATTAATATTCTAACATTTTGCGAAAAATCCTTATATATGCCACTCCACTACACTCGACAAACACTAAATAGGTACATAATACGTAAATGCTGATAGTGGTATTACACGTAATATACTCGTTCAAAATTCGATTTTCACACACTTAAATTTTAAGAAAAATACTCTGCTTCGAAACATGAAATATAATGAAAAATATATAAGTACAGCCGTCATAGATACAGAACCTTTTCTTCAAAAACACTGTTTTGTAATGGCTTTAAACTATATCCAAAAACGGTATTTCCATAAACGTTAAAACTTTAAAACGAGTGTTTACTTTAAAAAAAATATCTTGTATGGTATACCGCCATGCCTACCAAATGTTACTTCATTCTGTACACATGTACGTAGTACATAATACCATTCATCCATTCCCGCGCGCCGCACGATGATCGATCGATGCGGTCGCCGCGGTAAACAATGAAATTGACATCATCGGCAGAAGCGAACGCGCTGCAGCGTCCTCGTGCTCGTCCCAGTGTACAAACGTATTACATTATAGCACATTACCAAGACGCGTACATTATACTATTATATATTATGTGCACGTGACTCATCCAAACACGACTGACGGTTATATTATAGTGTTTATACGCGTTTCCGTCAGTGCATTGTTCGATTGTCGAACAAATATAAATAGCCGAGTGTAGAATTCGCGAAAAAATAATCTGTCAATAAATAAATAAATGAGAAAAACCACGAAAAACGATAATCAATCAATGACTCGGCAAGCAGCTCTACACGGGCACACATTTCATAAACGAGCACGACTATAACAGGTTGTCCGACACTACACACACACAATGGTGCGCATATAACATAATATAATGTAGGTAATAACTAATAACACGTCCGCGTCCCGGTGACGTCGACTGGACCCGCGGCGCGATCACTTGACGCGAGCATTTCAAAACATCACAATTAATGCACCGAAAACGCCCGGCTTCTTATTTACACTCCACAGCCGATTAATTAATATATTATACAATATTATATTATTATTATAATTTCAACGTGACACTAATCCGCAAAAGCCGTCCTACACGCCCCGAGGACGTCACCACACCATTTTATCGTATTGCTATACATAAATTATGTATAATAATATAATGTGTACTTATATATGACGTATTATTATAATATGTTTAGATGGGTACCTACCGGACACCGTTGCTGCGCGCCGTGTTTGATGATATTCGGAATTATATGCAACCACCGACCACCGCGGCCGTCGCGCCGAGCCGAGGCGAACGTGTTAACCAGGTTTTTGACAAGTATCCCGCCGCGGATTCGTTTCCTGTAGGTAGGTACGAGTATATTATACATACAATATGACGCTTTATTTATACACGAATATCACCGTTTAACCATATGTTTACCTACTACGCCATATGAATATGCGATGATAATTCCTAATTGGTTCTTGAACAGCTGAATGTCTACGGCATTGATTCCCGGATTGTTGCGCATATACAATGTGTGGGGTTTATACTCGAATTGGTGATATCCGGCTTAAAACAATAAAATATTTTATTGGTGTATATTAAAAAAAAAAAAATTAATCAAATAAATATTTATATAGTCATTTAACTTTATAAATATAATCCGTATTAAAGTAATGGATATTTAAAACTCACATGAAAGCTGATAGCAATATTTTTTCATTTTAGGTTAGGTCATTTCGTCTACCTATTTGAGTTTAAATGCTGTAGCTGCATATTTTATACATATTAATCTGAATATCTTTAATTAATATAATTTTCAAAATTCAAATATGTGAAATATTAAAACCTTAACTATAGAAACCAGTAATACGAACGTTTGTCCGCCTCGGATAAAATATAGGGAACCTGCAATATTCCATACTATGTACAAAAGAATTAAAAATATTATCCCCACCACAAGAAAGTCACGAAATCACACAATTTGCTTTATTATGTTTACCATAGATATTACTATATTAGGTAAATAAATTATTTTCCATCAATCGGAAAACATTTGTTCGCCGCAGCGTATATTTATGTATTTATTAATTTATTACAAGTATAAATATTACCCAAGAAATTTGGGAATCTACTAAGCTATACGAATTTCAGACAAGAGTTTGGATTTATTTATTTATTGTCAGATAAAATGTACATATTTACCAATTTAAATATAAAAGAAATGATTAAAATATACATGTATATATTGCGTTTGATTTTATCTTATACCTATACAACTGAAGTTATCAAGTGTAAAAAGTCAAAATACAAAAACACGTCGGGAATCCACTAGGTAAGTACCTACATCAATCTGATTATAATTATTGTAGATAAAAAAATGTCATCAATTTTTCGAAAATTTAATCTTTTAGATCAATTATAATTTTTATTCTCGAACTTTTTGGTCAACATTGAAAAAATGAATCCGAACTTTTATCAAATCGGACTTTATGTCCTCGGACTTATCGACCGATTACCATATTATATACACGTACGTACCTATATTACAATAGGTGTATTATACTATTATTATTATTATTATTAGGTAGGAGGTAGATATAATACATTTAGGTATACACTGGCACACACATCGAATGGACCACCAAACGTAACATGTTTACGACCATTAGCCGGTCCTTTTTTCGGGGTCGGGTAATTAATTACGGACGAGTTTCGTTTCCCCCGGCCAATATAGCAATAATTATTATTATCGTCTACGGCGGGTTTAAGTGGACCCGCGCACTGCGACGCGGATAAGATGTATATAATATACTTTATACATACACATTATTACGTTGTATATACATACACATAAACATATATTATATGAAAACAAGAGAGGAGACCCCTTGTGTGTGCGTGTAGATCTGTGTATAAATATGTGTATACGGCTCGGTCGTCGAGGTGTCAGCCGATACAAATTGTTAAGGTGGGTGGCCACCTGCATGTGACGATAACATCGCCGCCACCTGAACCGGAGGTTTCGGTCCCTCCGCGCGCGATGATTCAATCCACTCAACAAGCCATACATTACACCGTGCTAAACCAGTTATCCAGGACCGCGTGTGCGTTTTTATTATTATTGTTATATATACATATATATATATGTGTGTGTATGTATGTATATATGTAAGTATGTGTGTGTTTTATGTATTTTGTTTTTTTTTTTTTTTTTTATTGCGATCCAGATGACAAACACATACACACACACACACACACACACACACACACACACACACACACACACACACACACACTCACACTTAACCGCGCGCGCACGCAACACCATTGTAAGAGGGATTGTAAGACGGTCGATCAAGATTACGCGCACACATATGCGCAACATTTCGTATCCGAATAAAATATATACGATCTTTTTAAGTAGTCCGACGGTTTCTTTTACGACTTTTTAACAAGCATCGCATATTATATTGTATACACGGGTATGCGCGCACTTGACAGTCACGCCAAAATACTATACAAAGGTGACATCAATTTCGCATCATTTCCCGTGATTATTACGTGTTCGTCGTGCAATGAGAAAACCTAATGGATTCCACTCTTTGTCCTTTGATTCCATGACGTATTATTAATATTTGTTTTCGTGTTCCAATAATATCAACGAGGACCAAAAATAACACTTTAATTAGAATTAAATAACATGATATTATACGCACAGATGAATTTTAATTTCAAATAAGTTACTGAACCATAAAATGAGTAAGTATATAAGTATATAAGCATATAAGCTGCAGCTGATCACTAATCAGTTTATTACTTTATTGATTGTACAAATGTATTATGTATAATTTGTCTATAAAAGCAACGGAGATTACCATCCAAACAATATTATTAATCGTCGACTTTAGAAAAATGATTATTTTTTGTTTTCCGAAAGTCAAAATAAACTTAAACCGTTCTATAGAACCGTGTAGTGTAGATTGGGGTCACTCCTCCACTTTCTCTCAAAAAAATATTTTTATTATCTTATAACCTATCTACCCTTGTCATTCCAATTAGGTTTATCATACTCTTCAACATTCCTATACAGCTATCCTCGTTCTCCACGCTTTACGCATATTCGTTTATATAAATAAATATATATTTTGTCTATTTTATGAACATAATATTTTACTCAAATACTACCGTTCATTTATAACATTAAATAAATAATAAATAATAATTGTATTTCGCATACTCAACTGATCTCTATTTATTCTTTCTATTTTACAATCTTAATTATATTTAAGTACCTATATATATTATTCTATAAAAAAAACCTTAAAAACTAATTGTAAGAACTACAAGTATAAAATGATATATTAGTCAGTTTTCTTTAAATTATAAATACTTATTTTATGACTTACTAAATTAAAAAAAAAAAACCAAAAAGTTTTTATTAATGAATTAATGATTTAGTGAAATGGTAACGCTGTATTAAACATAACACTATGTTTCTTATACAGTGTAGTATATTATGTACAATTTATATACAGTTCAGCTAAATCGATGTACATATTTATACATAAATTATGCGAAAATTTAATTTAATTCCCTATCCATAATCCATATTGAAATTTATTATACTTATCACTTTTAAATTCCATTAATTTTACAAACAACGCATTTGCATGTGCAGTCTACGATTTATGTATAATATATCAAAATTTACTCTCAACAATTCCAATTTTATGTTAAAGTGAATTGAAATTTTATCAAATTCTAATATTTCTATAGTGTTCTCTCGTTGTACTTTTACGATATTTTAATTTTTAAGAAGTTTAAGAGCATGTCAAGTATTAATATTTAAAAATTAAAAATATATCATTAAAAACCAACGTTCTTTAAGTTTATTAATTGGTCAATTCACTCTAATATTTAAAACCACCAAAATTGGAACTGCAGAACGTATATATTTCATGTTATGCGTTAATATGATGGAGACAAAACTTGTGCGAATTCCTTTTATATATCAAAGATATATAGATGCCTTTGATAACTTGAATTTTTAAATCTGATAGATACATGTTTATTATGTTGATTTGAGTGCGCCGGAGTTATAACATCAACTGTACAATCCAGCTATGATAATAATAATATGTTCTATATAGTAGTAACTAATCTATTTCAATAAATGCTAAATATACGTTTATGGCGTCACAACGTGCACAGTAGAAAATACATTATGATAAAACAATACCGTATTACCCGCCGCCGACGCCTCGGGCCGCTGTCATCGCCCAGTCCAATTAACGGGTAAATTGGATTCTACTTGCCGCCAGTGTTACGGGGACGCGAACGGCCATAATAATAACGTAAATGTGTACCTATACGCGTTAACATCACGTCATGTTCACACTATGGTACCTGTGTTGCACATCAATGTACAGCGTAGGAACACATTATTAAAATATTATAATATTATCCTCATCACCTCATCGTCTACATCGTAATAAACATTTTTATTATAATACGATATCGTAAACTCGACGAAGCTCGATGATGAATCGATTACTTATCGTATTATTATTATATGGCCGGTACGATGAAACGCGAGCACTGCAAGCACCGCACCAATTACAATAAAACGCCTACCGTAAAACATGAAGTACGCACATGTTATAATGACTACGTGTGTGATGTAGTACGCGTGCGTGCCGTTCTGCTCAACGTATGATAACGCGTATACGATAGAATATATTATTATTATCATTATTATTATTATTAATCACGCGACCGCCTCTCGGCACAATCCATGGTAATCCTATTGGCGGTCGCTACTGGTTTTTTTTTCCGGCGATCTTCCCCGTCCTTATCCCGCCGACGACGACGACGACGACGACGACGACGTCGACCATGTGTATATATATTATATAGTATTGTAGTAGGTAGGTACCTCGGACGGTTACCTACTGCATCGGCGGCAGAAACACTAATCGAAAATAATGGAAGCCGCCGCCGCCGGTGTAACTCGTCAGTCACGTGATCGCTACCGAGTACTTGAATACTGTACCTAAATACACTCTCGGTCGATTACAATAATATTATTGTTGTTGTGAGACAGTGAGCACACCTCCTATGTACAGCCTACACAGAGGTCTTTGACGATAATGACGAGACGCTCTTATTCTATAGAACGTGTTCGGCGTGAGGCAGCGAATTATAATATATTTGTAAATTAATTACATAATATCATTATACCTACCGATAAATGTGTCATACTGGCATGCATCAAATGGTGGCCGCCTATATATAAACATGTATAATATAATATTATATTTAAGTAGGTATACTCACCCATGATAATAAT